CAGCGCAGGAGGGGAAGACCCTCTATGAGATGGATTGATTCGGTGACTGGGGTAATCGGGATGGGTGTGTCGGAGGCGGTGCGGTTGGCGCAGGATAGGGCAGGGTTTAGAGCTGTTGTGCATAGGGTCGCTATGAGTCGGAAACGACTCGATGGCACATAACAACAACAACATGTGGAAAAGCATGCTTCAGAGACTTTGAACAAATGCCTTCATATTTCGAGGGCACATGAGAGCATTACATGACTTTTAGAAAGTTGAAGGGAGGATTTAGAAAAGACAGATGCTGTAGATAACTTTTGACTTATTTCACAGTTCTGCCTGCATCTAGGACCGTGACAATGTTGGAAACCTATTGATCTCAGGATCTTAGTTTGTTTCCTCTGTGAGTCACTGAGTAAATGTTCGGATTTGTGGCGCTGAAATTTGATAGGTGGACTCTATCTTCTTATTTTCCTTTTAAAAGATATAATGATAGCATGAAACATATTGTGAATGAAGAATAGTGTGAAACACAATGTTTACAAATTTTGTATGCACACCAATATAAAATGTTTTAAAGGAAAAAACCCAACCTATATTCCATTTCATTACAAAATTCTTTGATACATGTTTAAAAAAAAAAATAACAAAGCGATGGTGCACAACTGAGCATGTGAAGAGAACACACACAAAAGCAAGCGTCCCCACTGAAAACGTCAGCACGGGGAGTCTGTCCAGGGCCATTCATTGGCAGGACATTGGACTTTGAGGATTTCAGCTCTGACTGCAGTTCCTCATTTGCCTTGATTTAAAGGTCCCACTCTCAGTTCTTTATGGAGTGTTTAGGTTTCCTTATAGGTCTCGAAGGAATCACAAGCTTCTTTACTCCTTAACTGTATACCTTGCCAGTGTAATTGAAGCTGTTTGGTTGCTGTAATTCCTTCCTAATGTTACAGTTTTAGTCAAGTATTCTTTCCCTCTGGAAACATTAATTATTGCTGGTTTTGAAAAGACTCTTGCTTGGTGTGTGTATATTTCTACTTTCACTGCCAAATCATGTCATCATGTCCTATTTGTCCTCTAGGTAAAAGAATGTTTCACATTTTCCCTGTGGTGTTCAGCATACACTATGCATGCCCTTTTTAACCACTACAGTATAATTTAAAGTATCTTTGCCTACCAGTCAGCAAATCAGCGTTCTTCATAGTTTCATGTATTTTGCCAATTTGCACTACAGGCCTCAGAATAATGGATTTAAACTCTCTTTTATTTGCTATTAGCTGTGAAGTTATTGGACACTGGAGCTTATGATTGCCCACAGCTGCTATAGATGTACCTGTGGTTTATAGCATGTCATTAAAATAAATGGCTATTATCCAAATATTTTGCTGAAATATAAAATTAAAAGTGGGGGCAGGGGTACTTCTTTAGATATAGCAGAGTGTTCTAGAAAATATTCTGTTGTTTGAGATAAAGTGATTTTAGCAATTGAATTCATTTAAGTAACTAAAATTTTAGAGAGTTCAACGGAAATTTTGCTATCAAACTTCAAAATATTCTTTTCACTCACACCGAGTTAAAGAAGAAAGACTATTTAATCGTAAAACCAATATGTAATGAAAGGCGCTCTAGTGGCCTTGTCCACAGGGAGCTGCACTGCTAATCCAAAGGTGTTCCTCTCTCGTGGTTCAAATCCACAAGTGGAACCTTAGAAGAAAGATGGGCACTCTCCTCTCATGCATTTTGTACAATCCAAAAATCCACTGGGGGGTCAGCTATGTGTTGGTTTTGACTCAATGGCAATGAGAAACATACAGTAGGAAAGATTTCTAAATAAAATCAACCCTCCTTCAAACAGCATTGACTAAGTGCATGCCCTGGTCTGTGCACTGGAGAAAAGCAGGGGGCAAGCAGACATCCCCATCTGGCACAGAGACCATCTTCTCAAAACTCCATCTAGACTTCACCTCTGTACTAAATGTGCTTCATTCATACTCATCTGATAGTTTCTTAAAGAGCCCCGAGTTCTCCATCCAGTCTGTAGATGATTAGAGCTCCAATTTGTGTTTTACTGCTTGAAATTATGCAATGTATTTATCCTGAAGTCATCTACTTCTGAAGGTAGCACAAGTCAATTTCATTATATAAAAATGAAGTACATGGAAATTTATGATTATTTTACTGAACATAAATCAGACAATGAATTCAACATACATTACCTAAAGACTGACATTTCAAGCCCCTTAGCCATGTGTTTCAGTAAATGTGTTTCCTTGTTCATTTACGGCTACATTTTGAATCATTGCCTCTGCCCCATATGGTTACTGATGTCTCTCCTTCAGCTTGAATGAACTCATTTCTTTCTAAGGGCGAGCATCTACAAAATAATAGGAAATTTTGGCCTGAGCTACACAAAATGCATTCTTATTATCATATTGTATAGAACTCAAAAATAGTAGAGGGCAATTCAGTGTGCCTTTATTTGTAGTTGGCCTTTAAGTTTTACCAAAATACAATAAAAATATTTTCATTAC